AGACAGTCTTTCAATCCATTTATCAAAGTGCCTGCAGCTCCCATTTCAAAGCAGGGAAACCAATACCTGACAGATGTCAGCAAACTGGAGGGAGTTCAGAGATGAGCAACACAAATGATGAACAACTGAAGGGATTGATTTATGAGGGAAGATTAAAAGTGCTAAGTATGTATAGCTTGGCTAAGAGATTACTAAGAAAAGATATGAGAGATGCCTGTGGTCATGGAAAAGGCACAGACACCAAGCAAGGAGAGGACTTGCCATGTGGGGAGCATGGGGTTGCAGAGGTGGTGTTAGAGCTAGGACATGTGGGGATTAGGAGCAGGAAGATGTAGGATTCTCAGCATGAGCACATTCCTGGTTGTAAGGTGGGTGGGACTGGGAATGAGCCAGCTTTGGGAGGGGTACTCAAATTTCAAATGACCATCAAACCCATCATTTGAAATTTGACTGGGGAAAGCACAGGCACTGGCTGGAGATCCCGCACTGGCTGGGAATGGGTATGACTCTGACTGCCAAACAGGATTCCCTGGAGCGTTCACTCTGCACACAGCTGGGACTGTCAAGAGTGCCCAACCATGAACTCCTCTCCATCTGTGAGGTGCTGCCTGAAGCGATGGACAGCACCAGAGAGGCTGCTTCCCCTGAGTTTGCAAGACGGTCTCAGATTTGACCTGGCTCTCATGAAAATGTGTTCTGCCTTAGGACAGTCTTTCCTTTGACAGGCAGCATTGCAGCCAATCAATAATGTACAAAGAGGAGGGGTGCTCCAGCACTTCTGGATTCTGTACAGGGGAAGCAGGCACCAGGGGAACAGCTCTGACTCTTCCAATCTCAAGTGACTCCTTAAGCTCATGGCCAAGCAGTCATGTGTTAGGGGCCTCTGACTGCCAAACAGGCACTCTGGTAATAATGTAATGTCCAGGGACTTGCTTAGATACCTCTTGAGCTGGGCTTTATAAGCTTTGTACTGCACCTGGTAAGTGAGGGGCCCCAGTTTTGTAACAGACTGATGCAGTAGGGTAACTCCAGGTGTGGGATGATTCCCATGGAGTTGTAAAGTTACTCTTGGGCTTCAATATTGGCAGGCGTGGGCCCTAAATCATTTAAACACACAGCCTGAAACCAGGTGCTAGGGCTTGTTCCCTTGGCCACAGCATCCCCAAACTAATCACGCTTGTTAACATCGCTGTTGTGTCTTCTGCCATGGTTTGATCAAGGCAATTAGAGGTGTCTGATTTTGCTTACTTTGCCTTGGTCTCTGCCGGCTGCATCTCCGCTTTCTCTTGTTAGCTAAGAGCAGCAAGTTCATGCCTTCTTCATGCCTTTTCTCTTTCAGGCAGGGTTGCCATTTCTCACGCTCCATGGTCCTGAGTCTTTCTTGATTGGGCCACCTCATTTCTGTTTCATTCCTTTCCAGTCCCCTCAGTTCAGTTCTCTCCTCATTGAACCCAAGTTTCTGGGATGCTTCTTATCTCTGCTTTTAACTTCCAAAATGCTGAAAATTAAGTCCTATAAAAGGATTTTTTTATTTACTAAAAACACCAGAGGTTTGTATTATTTTTGTGATGCAGCTGTCTCCCTCCCAGGCTTTGCACTAACTGACCCAGCCCTCCTGGGGAGCAGACAAGGGTGGGGTTCAGTAGCTGCACTTACTCTGTTAACACAACTAGAGCTCTAGCTGGACACTGGTGGGGCTGGTGCCTTCCTGCACCCAAACTGGGTAGTTAGGGAGAGAGCCACTAAAGTGGCTGGCACTTCTTTAGTGGATGTGAAAGGCTGTGAAGGTTTCAGTTCTTGTTTCTTATTCTTATTACTATTTTGATTGCTGTTTATTTTTTCTTCCTCTTCCTTTTCTACTAGTGTGTCCTCCCTTTGGTGTCACCATTTCCTCTTCAGTTCTCTTCTGCATTCTTTTCCATTATATTTCAACCGTGCAGTCTGACCTGGAACTTTGGGAGCGACTGAGCCAGCCACCGACAGAGGTTCTGGACAAGGTGACCTGTCTGAGACTCAGCTGGGCCTAGCCTGAGGTGAGTGTGTTGGACAGGGGAAGGGATGGAAAGATTTGGCAAAGGTTATAATACCTCACTGCCTAGAACAGGCTCGTCAGAAAAGGTTCTGAGTTGATCCCCAGCTGCTTCTGGCTGTCCAGGCAGTAGCATGTGCCTTGTTACTTGCTCTTTTCATTCTTGCAGGAGAGGACCCTGGGCTTGTTTCATAGATTGTTGGGGGCTGGAAGGGACCTTGCAGATCATTGGGTCCAGCCCCACCACTCTAGGCAGGAAGACAACTAGGGTTAGGTGACCCCAGCAAGGTGACTGTCTAGTCTCCTCTTGAAAACCTTCAGGGTAGGTGAATGTACCACCTCTGGAGGTAGTTTATTCCACAGTCTGGACACCCTGCACTGGAGCTGTCACTGTATTGATTTAACCAGAAAGGGTACATGTGCAAGGGGGGTTCAAAGTGCTGGGTTGCAGGGGGAGGAGAGAAACTCAGTTCTGCAGCCTGCTCACCTCCAAGTCTAGCAGCACTCATTCCTGTTGACTTACTGTGTATTCTCTCCGATCTCCTATGTAGATGGGGCAAAGGGGCTTTGGTTGGCATTTCTGGCTCCACAGAGTCTCTTGCAGGGAGCAGGGCTCACCTAGTACTACTGGCTCATAAGAAGGTTTGTTACCATGAGCCCAGGGCAAGTGGCGGTAGGGGGCAATCTAAAGCATGGGAGTTGTGTAGGGTGTGACTCAAGCTCCTCCTGTACTGCTTCCAGTTATGTTGTAAGGCACTGGAGAGCTGAGAGTTGCTGGAGACCCCAGCTTCCTGCTCGGGGCAGAGAGAAAGACCTGATGTTATGCCCTTCCCTCCCTTCCTAGGCCCTGTGAAAGGGGCCCCAGGCAGTTTTTTTCTCCCATTCCCACTGGCTGGCCCAGAGGAAGGCTGCAGATTAGCACTCCTAGTTTCTGTTGGCAGGGTAGGTAGCTGTGGGCTCCTTGCCTGGGTGATTCTGGGGAACAGACCTGCTGAGCTGTGCCCTTCTCTAACCAGCAGCAAGTGTGGTTAATACCACTTCCAAGACGGCTGTGGAGCCACCTCCCTTCCTCCTGCTGTGACACAGGCAACATCTGGTGCCAGCAGCCACCCAGGTGGGGCCATGGCCTGGCACTCATCTGAGCAAGACAGCCTCTGTGCAAACCCATTAGTGAAAGGATGGGGAACGAAACAGCCTGTGCCTTGCATCCTGCCAAGCAAGTGTTTATAAACAGAAAAAGCGGGGCTATGAAACCAATTCCCTGTCTCTGGGCCTGGCATGGGTCCAGCTGCGCAGGGTGAGGAACAGTGTTGTCTGACTGCAGCTGTTGTAATTAGGAGCAGGGAACAGTGTGTGTTGGGGTGAGTGGTGGGGGGAAAAGACTTGTAGCTTTAAAGAACAAAACATAGATATCAGCTCTTTGCATGACATTAAAAAAAAACAAGAGCTGGGGACTGGGTGAGGCTCCCCTCTCTCCCCCCACCCCCTGAACTCCACTCCTCTGCTCCCTACACTCTCTGCTCTGAGCCTTATTTAAATAATGCAATTATTTAATGATGCAATTACTGGGAATTAAGGGGAGGTGAGGGATTGATGCCAAAATAGAGGCTTCCAATTTTCAACTTCACCGGATCTTCAGGATTTTTCTTTCCTCTATTTTTAAAATGATTCCTTCCCAGTGAAATCTTCAGAGAGATCTTAATGGCTGGCAGCCTCCACAGCTGTGCTGCTACCTTGTGAGGCACAGTGCCCCCTGCCAGAGAACCTGAGATGGGGTATCTCACCCCCTCCCCCTGCTCCTCCCTTTGGCTAGTGCTTCTGTGCTGTAAGGCTCAGCTCCCCGCTGCAGGAAGAGAGGCTGGGGCTGAGGTTGCTGACAGCATCTCCAGCAACCACAGCTCTTTCCCTGTACTACAGGGCAGCCTGGGGGAGGAGAGTAGCTGTGGGTGGAGTAGCTGAGCCCCCCCTTCACAACCAGACTGCTGGCCCTGCCGTTACAGAATCCCTTGCTGAGTGAGTGCAGGACTAGATGATGGCAAGTTCCTCAGCCAAGTCTCCTGCTTTTTTGTCTTAAGCACCTCCTGATGGGGGTTGCAGTAACTGGGTGGTCTCCCCTTATCCACTAATACTGCCCTGTTCTCTAAAGAGCCAGGTGATGGGCAAGGCTGGGACTGGAGTTGATAGTAGCTGCCCCCTAGTCTCCACATAGCCAGGGCTCAATTGGCAGGAGTCTGAGCTCCCAACAAAGGGATGAGAGGCTGAAGGATGTTTGGAGCTCTTGGGAGAGCCCAGGAAAGGAGTAGTTTCTCCCTTTCAGGATCGAGCCCCCCCTCTCTGCCTGCCCTGGGCTCTGTCCCAAATGCACAGTTTGTATCAGACAAATGGGCTTCCACACCTTTAGTAGGGCAACCCCAACTCCTGCTTGCTTCACAGGGGTCATTGCTGGAGGATGCCAGTGTGTTTGTGTCTCCCCACATGGGTACCTGCGAAGCGTAAGTCAAGGCTGCTGTTGCTTTGGTGAAAAGGTGAAAATGCCTTCCCATCTGGCTTGGGGCTGCAGACTGCATCTGGGGAAAGATTAAAGGAATGACTGTCTTTTCCCTTAGTCTGTTGTGAAGTGGGCAGCTTTTGACTTTGCTGGAGCATTACTTGTCCTAGTCTTCATGGCTAAGCAGTGGCTCACTGGCCGTTTAGCTCCTTTGATGTATCTCATTACCCCTACTGTCCTCTTTAGTTTTATTATGAAGCAGGGAAAGGATGAGTGAGTGTGCGTGCACAAAGCTGTGTGTGTGAGACAGAGAGAGTGAGAGACGTACAATGGTGCTATGCATAATGCCAAAGGACTCCCTTTCTCAGGAGCACCTCTTCTGTTGACACCTAGTCCCCACAAATCTGCTTCACTTCAGTCACTTTGTTCTGGTTCTTCATGGAAAATTCACCTCAGTATCCGGAAGTGATGTCCCAAAGCCCAAGCAGCAGGGTTGGGGAGAGCCCATGGCCCTGAGAGGCAGAAAGTTTACATAGTGCCGCCTGGGGCTGAAATAAATATGGGGGGCAGCATCAGGACCTGGATGGGTGGGTGGACTGGGGTTTCATGGCTGTGGTCTGTAGCTAAGGCCTGGAAGAAGTGGTATGTTCATGAAGGAGCTAGCTTCATCTTTGCAATCCATGGACCCAGATCTCCCGCTCCTGTTTCACTGGCTACATTTCAACTTGCAAAGTCCTCTAGGCTCCTTTGTAGCAGAAGATCCCATAGAGCACCTGCTTACACACATGTTTCTGGGGCTTCATGCACATTAATCTAGTCCTTCAGAAGAAGAGGAGTGAGGCAATGGAGCCCTCCCTGGCTTAGAGGTCTAGTTGTAACTAAGTCTAACACAGGTCCATTGCTCCTCCCCAGCCTTGGCTTCCCTTTCCTCCTCCTAGGTTGGCCCCTTGCTTTCCCCATTATTTCCTGACAGATACAGGAGGGAGATTATGGTAATGATCCCTGACAAGGCAGTATCAGGAATTATGCTGATAAATCTAAAGAGACAGCTTTTAAAAAAACCCAGCCCATAATTTAATATGGGCTATTAGCTTGGCCATCAGAGAACAGAGCCCGCTCATCCTGCAGCCTGAATCTCCTCACTCCCTGGCTCCTCCTTGAGAAATGGGCTCTTGTTTCTTTAGTAATGCTTCATCTTGGCTCTGCCTCTGTGCAGCAGTGGCTATTGAATATAGCAGGCTGGGTGTGCTGCTTTGGGGGATGGGGAGAGCTGTTTGGAGCCTAGGATGCTCTGGCCCTGTGGGGCAGTAAAAAACCAGGTCTGAGCAATGATCTAAGGAACTAATGGGAAAGGAAATTTAAGGAGTCAAGGTTTCACTTGCTCATCTTATGCTCTTGCAACATGTGTGGTTGCTCAAGAAACTTTCTCTCTCAGGAAACCAAGGCTTGTGCTTTGATTAGGTTCTGACCTGTCATACCATGTGATTAGTCTTCCTTGCTCCTGCTGCTTTCCTGCTGCCCCTACCTTTGATCCTCCTGCAGTCCACTTCGGACAGCCCTCTGCTGGTGGGGGAGGAAAGACTCAGCAGAGAGCGGATGAGGATAACATTCAGCTAGGAAGGGAGGGGATGGAAAGTCATCAAAAGGAAAGGTGGCGAATCTAAACCTTCCAAGCAGTCCATCTGTCGGACTGAAGAGCCATCACCTAGGAGAAGAGGCAGAGAAGCCCATTGCTGATATCATCTACACCTAGACTGGGCACAGTCTGACAGAAAGCAGGAACCACCTGCCCTGCCTGGGAAGAAGAGGGGTTGGCTGGGTCTGGATAGGTATTTTCTGCATCTGCACATAAGCCTGGGATTCTCACACACCCAGTTGGCCAGTGTAAGACTTTAACCTAGTGCTACCACCCATCCTCTAGCTAGCTACCTCCTTCCTGGGTTTCTAACCAGAACCCAGCTCACGTCTGAGCCATGAGTCATGTAACGAAGCTGTGCACAAAGGAGGAGTACTGAGATGGAGCTGGGAGCTGCAGAGAGGGTTCCTCATTATGGCATCTGCCTGCTTTTCTCAGCTTCTCTTTAGTTCAATCAGGTACCTCCTTAGAGCAGAAGCAGCAGATCACAGGGAAATGACACAACTTTGATGTGGTATTCCTGTTGCAGACATGACCCAAAGCTGAGAGGTTTAAAAAGGAAATGCACTGTCACCAACTAACTGTTTCTGCAGGGTCTGGTACTTGCAGCCCAGCCCTGTGTGGAGGAGAGGAGAGCAGCTCCTCCTCACTTCACTTGGTTAGTGAATCAGAGAAGCATAAGATGGTAATAAATGTGAATTTTAGAGCATGAGTGGACCAGCAGAAGAACCCAGTGGATGACATCTGAAGTTCACTGGGGCTTTTGGGATTTCTTGGGAGCCATCCAGAGCTTGACTGTCCCCCCTGCAGATCACATGGGAGACAGTGACTGACTAGTGCTACCTCGAAGGGGAATGACCCGGTGGCTTTTATGGTTAAGTGGGCAAGCAAGTGCACTCTCGTTTTGCATAAAGAGCTGCAGGTCTCGGAGATGAAAGCTCACAGTGTGCCTCAGGATCCAAGGGCCTGGCTGTACTGTATGCAGGGTCCTATAGCTTCCTGAAATGCACTTTCATACCACAGAAGATGGTGCCAGTGAGTGGCCTGAACAGTAGGGGAGTTGCTGAGGCTTGTAGTAGAAATTTAAGGCTGTTACATGTCCCTTACAAAATGCTGGTTTTAATCCAAATGAGTTGCTAGCACTAAGCATCTTGGAGAAGCATATGTGAATCACCACGTGATAAGGGAAAGTGTGGGCTTACTGTAAGAGTGCAGTTAGGCTTGTTTGCTAATGGGTAAGGCAGTGGGCGTCTCTGCAGTGTGCTGGAGTATCACAGTCACAGGGTTAGGGGGTGAGGATGTTGCAGTAACCTGTGAAACTGACCTCAGAATGACCATTTCCCTTTGCAAATGGGAAAGGCAAGGGGAAAACACCATGGCTAGTTTAGAGTTAAAAAAATTGTACAAAGAATCCTTCAACGGAGATGTGAACACTGGAGCCTGCATTTCCTCAGGAGAAGAAATTACCAGCTTTACTCAGGTTGTATTAAATTCTATATTGACACAGCAATTGCCTACTGTTTTTTAACTGCTGTGGTTTTTGCACACTTGCACAAAAGGTCAAGCTAATGCTTCACAGGCTTCAAGCAGCAGTGTTCCTCCTCGTTTGATTCCCTTTGAACAGGTCTGGGGATGGCATTAATATTAATATGCTATCTAACTTAGGTAAATATGTGCGTGGGTAGCAGCAATCCTGTCCAAACTCCAGGGCTGAGGAGAGCTGCCTGGGGTGTGACATACACTATTGTCCCTAGGCAGCATTACATCAAACAGAGGGAAAGTTTTCTTGTTGCTAGCAACATTTAACAATAGGAACATTACAGAAAATATGCACTAGGCTGCATGCTTATTACAAACCAGACTCCACCAAGTTTCCTAGTGAATTAAACAAGCATAAGAGGGACAGAAAAGGGACACAACTGCTGGCTCATTTGTTAATGATCTTTGGTTACAGGTGGTACAGCTACTCCTTGCTTAACGTCATAGTTATGTTCTTGAAAAATGCAACTTTAAGCAAAACAATGTAAAGTGAATCCAGTCACATCACAGTAGTTGCCTATTAGCAGGTGGCGGCCAAGTGACATTATAACTGAATGTTGCACAACTTTAAATGAATATATTCTCTAATAGATCAATGACATAATCATGAAACAACGTTAAGTGAGGAGTACCTGTACTTGCAAAAATCTCTGTCCAGAGTATTGCAATGAAACACAAAATATAATACTAGGGGCTTGAGGACCGGTGCCATGTCCATGTATGACTTGGGTGTAGAGGCATTGATGCCTTCAAAATATAGCTTGAGTGAGACTTAGGTACCGTGTAGCCCTTATGATGGCCTCTTGCATGGAGAGAATTTTACCCGCAGGGCATAGCTCCATATATCATGGTTCTTCAAAGCAGTGGGTCCTTGATGCTAGTGGCCATGCACAGTAAAGGTACTACTGGCTTAAGTGACTCCTTTCCCTGGTTTTATAACAAACATTTGTGCTGGGCTTTGCTGCCCTGGTGCTGTCTGCCTTTCATTTAGCTTCTTGCTCTAAAGATCTCTCCATCACTATCTGCAATTTGGGCCTCTGACAATTGAGATTTGGGTTGTGGTGAAATACAAGCAGGTCACCATATGCACTGTTGACTGCAAAGCTTCAGACCTCAGCTTCATCTCTGGATCTGGTTATGTGGTTCACTCCATGCAAAACTTGGGAGCTACTCTTGTCTGTTCACAGTCTATTTTTGTCTTGATCCTATCTCCAGAGATTCCCACTGTTGGCTTTTACTATCAGCCACTACTTTGATCCAAATCCTTCAGTGGAACACACTGGTGGAACCCCATTGATGTATTAAATTGTCTTCAATTAACTAAGCCAAGTTATGCCAGCTGATGATCTGGTCTAACTTGGCCTAACTTAATTTTATCTGACTATGGAGATGAGTGTTATCCCAGGACCCAGGGGAACGTTCCTCAACTTCATCTGTCTTTCCAGAGCAGCTAGGAGGTTTGTGGTACGGTTTGATTGATGATCACTGATGGGAGGAGGTTGTAGTCCAACAGTCCAAGCACATTCCCAAGGTGTTTTGGGTTTTGTTGTTGTTGTTGTTTTTTGGTAGCTTTCTTTAAATTCTTATTTAGGGAGCCACAGTACCCTGAGGTGCCTTGAGATCCTTTCAAGGGTGTTTCAGGGTACCTTGCAATGTTAGCACTGTTAGGTGTGCAACCACGCTTCACAAGATAAACCCAGAAATTTCAAATAAAAATCCAGAGTATTAAACCCATTCTGCCCTGCTGAAGTCTTTCTGTATTATTTGCAACAGAAAACTTGCTCTATAATTTTTCTGTAGTCAAAAATGAGAGAAAACAAAGAGCTGGAACTTTCTGAGGGGGTGCCTTGAGTCTAACAAGGGGTGTCTTGAGTCTAAAGAAAGGTTAAAAAATACTGAGCTAGAAAAATGTGTAACTGCTTGTTCTTCCATATTTAAAAGAGGTGGAACTGTATGGAAATGTGGAGTTTGCGTCGGAGGTGAATTCTCTTCGCTGTTCGTTCTCTTGCTCTGGTGCAGCACAGCTCATTACTTGAATGTTCATTAGATTTCTGAGTAGGGTCTTTTCCTTAAGAACCTACTCTTGCCTGCATTGACATGACTGTGTACATGGCAGTTATGCTCGTGGTGCCTCCAGTGAGCAGAATTCAGATGCTTTGGCTTAGGCTGGAATTGGGTGCTGTGCCAGTGCTGTTATTCCCTGATCATGGCTGCAAATGAGAATTTTTTGTCACTGTCTGAGCAATAATTTTGTCTCCACTGTGTCTCCCTGTCTGAGCTTACAGAGGCTCCAGAACAGTGATTCCCTGTGTTTTGTGACTGCTGCTGAACACTTTCCCTCTGTG